ACCACATACGCAATCAAAAGGCAATAGACCCCCCCCCCCTGCTACGCAGATATTCTATATAAAAACTGTTGGGAGAAATGATAAAGTCTATATCAACTAAGAGAAAGATAGTAAGAGCGAGATCCATTAATTTTTTTTCCGTCTACTGCGAAGCTTTATTACAAAAGGCAAACGCAATATGTATTATTAAAGGAGAATTGCGGAAGATCAATATTCTAGATAAATCAGTATTTTCGACAAATATATAAATTGTATTAAAAAAGAAATTCTTTGGAATCATGCCACGTGAATTTGGTTTGCTAACTATGTTGTGAAGTTTGAAAACTTGTTATTTTTTATTCATTTTATTTAATGTTATGAAGCAACATGTATATACTTATGTAAACTACAAGTGACAATATATCTGTATAAAATGAATTTTACAAAATGCTTTATATGTATATAATAGGGTACATATATATAAAATACATATATATATATATATCGTTTCTTCGGAAACATTTAAAGATTCAATTTTAATAAACTTATATTCACTGATAATATATTGATGTATTCCAATTTATTCGCATATAAATAATATAAAAAGAACGTTTCGAAAATTTTAATGCCAATGGATCGTTTGTGTTGTTAAAGTTTAGTAGACTATGCAAAGGATAAATCTGTAATTGTCATAGAAATTCTGTGTGTGTGGCCAGTATTTTTCCAAGAGCCGTTAAAATTTTTAACTACCATCAATTTTAATCACATTTTCCTAATTTAATCTCTCTACCCGCGTGTCAAATAAGGGAAATTAATAATTATATCCATATTGATAAAACATATATATATATAACAAAATATAGATATTACTCTTTATAAATTAATCAAGATCATATTAATTTTAGTTTGGTCGAGATGATCCTAAAAATACGCTATATGTTGCTCGTTTCTTCGGAAACATTTAATAAATTTATATTCGACTGAATGTATTATGTATTCAAATGCGAATTAAAATCCAAGACGGAATTAAAATGTGACTATATTACCTTAAGTGATAATAAAAGTCATCAAAATTCGTTTAAAAAAATGCTAAAACAATAGAAACCCCCTTTTCTAGAATCGTTAGCAACCGAGCTGCTCCTCTATTCTATTTTGATATCTTCCTTCAATCCATTTATTCTTAGATACATGCGCAAAATGAAAATCTTCCGCGTTCTATCTTGCACTCGCTTTCTCGCTCTAGATCTACGCATGTAGTCATCTGACAAAGGAGCGTTCCAGTTGACAGGTAGAACAGCTGTTTTAGAATACAGATGAATCCAGAATAAAGGATAATGAAGGACTATACTACAAGAAACCGGACGGCGTGTTCGGGTCGTCAGGTGTCGCCATCTCGCGAGCAGACGGCGTTTCCTATCCTCAGCGACAGTCTGGGCACAAATCTGTTCTGCATTGTCCCGCGAAATCTGCGACAACGTACACGTCTCCGTCATGAAGCACAAAATGCGCACGCGGTGGACTCGCGTCGCTTGTCAAATGAGAGACTCGGCCTCGCGAGTGTCGCGGCAAAGCTCGTCGACGCGATCGTCGTAGATCTCGAGAGAGCGTCGCTTCTCGAGAAAAAGGAAAGTTATCGGTCGTACGATCAACGATAACCGCTACCGGTCGTCCGAAAGTTAAACTGGACGATATCGACTCGCGACCGTTCGAACGGCCGTCTAGGTGAAACGATACGATCCGCGGCACCGCGGAGCGTGTTGCTGCGTGTCGCGAACGGCGGCGGCACATCGGAGTACGTACGTATATACGAACGTGTTGGTAAGCGCGCGGGACGGACGGACCGACGATATATAACGTGCGCCACGCGAGACAGAAAGAGAGAGAGAGAAAAGGAAAGAGGCGTTTTTCCGACCGGCTCTGACGGCGCGCGCGAAGGGGCGGCGGTCTCGCCGAGTAAAAGATCAACAAAGAGACCGAAAGCGCGAGCACACTCGCTTCCGGCGACGGACACGTCGCTTGGATTCGCGCGACCGCGAGCGTGTCTCCGCGGATATTATCATCCCATTCGTCGCGGAGCGGCCTGTGCTGTGTGTGTGTGTGTCGAGTAGTGTCCGACGAACGAGACGGTGGAGCTGGCTGGAGCGCCCCTCTCCCGCGCGAACGAACACCTGTGCGTGTCGCGCGGAGTACAACGCGAATGTGCGTTGCGGACAGTCGTATCCCGGCACCGCTGCTCGTACGTACGTACGCACGGCGAGAGAGGATAAAGTCATGCGAGAGTCGCCGGAAGCAGCAGTAGCGGCGGTCGCGTCGCTCTGCCGCGCGTAACCGTAAAGATCCGTCCTCGCGTATATTACGGCGTGTGATCTCGTCCCCCTCGCGTTCCTCCCCCCTCCCCCCCCCCCCCTCCCCCCTCCCCCCCGTCCCCGTTCCGTCGAGGGGCATTAACACGAGGGACCGTCGCGCGTTTCGATCGTGTGCGAGTGCGCGTGCTGCTGTGTCCGTGCTTACGTACGTGTCTCTCTTTCTCTCTCTGTTTTGTACGCGCGTCCCGTGCTGGATATCAACCCCGATTGGGGATCGGTCGTCAACACCGTCTCCGACGTTTGACCGACGTCGCGGTGGTTTGCGTGCGGGATGGAGAAAGAATAAACATGGTGGTGTGGTGTGAGAGCGCGACGGAAAGGGCGACGTGAGATCGAGCGAGACTGACGGACGGATAGGATAGATAGACGGAGAGGGGAAGAGTCTCGCGAGGACGTGAGAGAGCGAGAGGAAGAGAGACGGCGGCGGCGGCGGCGGCGGTGGTGGCGGCAGTGTGGCAGCGATCGGCCACCAGTCAGTACGCCAGAAGCGACGAATTCGATCGGCGCTTCCTTTGTCCGCGCTTCGGAAGAGAAAGAAAGAGAGAGTAAGTCGCAGAGCGAGACACGCGGATCGTTTCGACGATACGACGACGTTTCTCGCACAACCGTCGAGAAGTTGCCTGCGAGTTTACATCGTCGACCGACGCGATTTTCATGCGCGCTGTCAACGACCAGCTGTCCGGCAGCCAAGTGTCAACTGGGACTCCCGCCGCGTCGAGCCGCGACGTTACTAATCGGCGAACGACGACGACGACGTCGCGGTACATGGTGTTATGTCGTCGTCGACCGAGAACCGCGTGATTCGTCGGTGCCGGTGACGAAAAGCGCGCGTTCCCGAAGGAGAGAGGACGGTTAGGATGTGAGAAATGTGGAAAGTATACCGTGGAGAAAGAAAGAGACGGATGAAGGGAAGAAGGGAAAATTAATTGGTAAACGATTTACACATATATACAGTCATTTGGATATCTACTAAAAAAGAAGGAAGAGAAGAGGAGGATACGTACATCGCTCGAGACTATAACCCGGCTTTCGCCTCGCGAGTGCGAACAAGTGCGTACGTTGGTGCGTAATTTCTTGTTATTCGCGTATTAAGTGTGATTTGCCTGATGTGAATCTGTGTATGTTTATGTTAATAGGTGATCGAGAGCGACAGATACATCGACGGAGCGGAGGATACAATTTATATCGCGGATACGTACTCGTCGACGAGAGAAGCAGCGGGATCAGGTGATCGGATCGAAAAGGAGAATCAATCGACAACAATGATAATAGGATCGGCGAGTGGCGAAGACCCGGTGAATAGACTTCCCGAGGGTATTTTCGGGCGCTGACGAACGAAACGGGATGGAACAGCAGCGGCACGGCAACAGCGACTGCGGCAGAGTCGTCAAACTCGCGACGGCCCCGTGCCAATAACCTCCGTGTAACCAGTCGGAGGTTGGTTAGCCGCTTCCTCGCACGGCGATGATGCGTTCGCCCCCGTCGCGCGCGACAGATCGTAAAATTAGAAGACGTTCGGAGGCCCGCGCGAGCGAAGCCGAGAAGAAGGACGTCGCGAGCGAGCGACGACGACGTCGCGATCGTCGAAGGAGAAAAGGTCCGGATGGTGGTCATCGGGTGATAATATTCGACGCGCGGGATTCCCGCTGGCGGATCGACGTGTGTGACAGTGTGCGTGACAAAAGTGCGGTTCCATAGTTCCTCCTCTCTCTCTCTCTCTCTCTCTCTCCCCCCCTTCGCTTCTTCGTTCGCGGCTTCCTTTCCGTCTGCGCGAGTACGCGAGGATCGCCGCCTTCGTGTTCGAGAGTCGCGACGTCGTGCTGATCGTCGACCGGAGGAGATATCGGTCGATTAAACACGAACCCGTGATCTTAACTCGCCGTTCGTCGAAGCGCGCGCGCGAGTGAAACTTCTCTAGTCCGTTGCATTTACGTGTGCGAGGATCTCTCGCCGAGATTCCCGGGAATATAATTGGAGGAATTGATTTCGTATCCAGCAGTACACCACGTGCGATTCATTCTGACGAGTCATTTCTGATGCAATTCGCCCCTCGTCGTTTCCCGGGAGCAGCGAGTCGCACATTCCCGTCCGGAAGCTGGGCATTTTCCGGCTTTGTTCAAAACGAGACTGACCCGTCGTGCACGGTTCCTTTAGTCGATTATATAATTTATTTAAACCGCGCGATCGGGACGTAGAGCCTTATCTCGAAGCCGTCGTCGTCCTAACGGAGCAGTATGTCTCTCATCGAGTCTGGGCTATTATTCTTCGACACGTCCGGCGAAAGAGCGAGGAAACGCGTTGCGGAAAACGCGCACCGCGCGTGAATTAGTTCGCGTATCATCCCGATGACGAGGCTCGACAAGGACAGACAGAGCGGACGCGAACAAATGGACACCAATGATTAGCTTGGCTCTATCGGCGGCGGTAAGCAGGATCGAGATGCCCCTCTCCAAATCGAATCCGTTCGTGCCGGCGAGCGCGATCTCGACGCAGCCGTACATCTCGAGCAGCGAGAGCAGCAACCATCTGCCGCCGATCATCAAAGGTACCGGGTTGAAGCAGACCGGTGGCGGCGGCGGTGGCGGCGACGACGAGTTCGTGCCTTACACGGCCACTTATCAGAAACTATCGTGGAAAGGCGAGGGCTTCTGGCCCGTGAGCCACAACTCCAGCCACAACTCGCACTCGCAGCCCAACAGCCAGTCGAGCAGTCCGGTGGTGAGAAACGGTCGTTCCGATGGCAACTCCAATAGCGGTAGTGGACGCGGTGGCGGCGCCGGTGGCGGAGGCGAGGGCGGTGGTGGCGGTAGCGGAAGCGTTGGTGGTAGCGGCACCGGCGGCGGTGGAAACGGCGGTAACGGCAGCAACAGCATCGTCAGCGTTAAACCGAAGACGGCGACCATCACGCCGGAGATGGTGATGAAGCTGTACATGAACAAGCTGACCCCGTACGAGCATCACGAGATTTTCAATTACCAGCAGATCTACTTCATCGGCGCGAATGCGAAGAAACGGCCGGGCATCATCGGCCGGCCCAACAACAACGAGTACGACAACGAACAGGGCTCGTACATCCATGTGCCACACGATCACGTGGCGTATCGCTATGAAGTGCTGCGCGTGATCGGCAAGGGCTCGTTTGGCCAGGTGGTCAAGGCCTACGATCACAAAACGCACGAGCACGTGGCGCTCAAGATGGTGCGCAACGAGAAGCGCTTCCACCGTCAAGCGCACGAGGAGATACGCATATTGCGTAAGTTGCGCGAGCAGGACAAGGACAACACCATGAACATCATTCATATGTTCGACTCGTTTACCTTTCGCTGTCACATGTGCATCACATTCGAGCTGCTCAGCATCAATTTGTATGAGCTCATCAAGAAGAACAACTTCAAGGGCTTCAGTTTGCAACTCGTGCGTAAGTTCTCGCACTCGCTGCTCCTCTGCCTGGATGCCCTCTACAAGAACAAGATTATACACTGCGACATGAAGCCGGAGAACGTGTTGCTCAAACAACAGGGTCGCAGCGGCATCAAGGTGATTACAGAATATTCTCTTATTGTTAATCCCGTAAACTGAAAGTTTGAAATAATATTCATAGCACTTATTCGCGGCCTCTCTAAAATTTCTCGATGCATTCTTTTCTGTTATTCGTTGGATTATATGATTTAAAAATAATTTTATAAGTTAATAATCAGTCACTTTTATAAAGATAAACATGTTATATATAATTAAAGGATTTATAAATAAGTTTTCAGAAATATTTTGATCGAATGCATCACATGTATTTCGTGAAAATATAGAGAGATCAAGCGAACAGTAGAATTGCGATTATATTAAGAACCGCGTATATTATAAAAACAAAGGGATTAAGGGATTTATTGCAACAACGTAAAAACTTTAAAACTTTTTTTTCTAAACTGGGGAAATTAATTTTAAAATTAATGGCTTTTAAAGTTGAAAGAAAACATTAAATTTATAAATTTATTTCTTCATAAGTTTTTATCAAAAAAATAGGTTGAAAATTACTGTTATACTAAACCCTTTAATTAACAATCTTGCAATTTTACTTTAGGATCGCAAATTAGTGCTTTTATTACTGTGTAATTTGAAGCGCGTCAAATTTATTTTATAAAGAAGATGCGCAATATTTGCAAACAAGAACGGAAGGCATCTATTCCCGTTTCGTATTCGAGACGATATAATGAATTCTCGATGTACACATGATTTTTCTTTCTGATAATATTTGCAAAACAAGATCTCGAGTTTCTCTCGACGGTATCTCGAAGAGCCACTTATTATTCCTCGTAATGTGATCCTTTATTGACATTTCTTTATATGGTTCGCACACGGAAGACTTTATTACTTCTCCTTCGAAATAACGACATACCGATGATATGCATTGAGAAGAATGACATTCTATGCAAACTAATAAAAAAAAAAAAAATCTATTTTTTAATTTATCTGTTTATTTAAATTTTCTTATTTTTCTGCACGTTTATAATATTCTAACAATACTGTCTATACCGTTTGAATATATAGATTATTTTATATATTTTGACGTTTTCATTTTGTACGCGTGTAACACACACACATACACACATTTGCGCGGGCGCTCTACAAACATCTTTACTTTCGTGAAACTGAGCTTTCAATTAAAGCTAATCGATAAACCGCTTTACCCCCGCCCACATTTTCCGTATACACAGCCGCGACCTTTAGCCCCGTTTCCGAACATCCGATATCGGGAGAAATCGCGTAGAAAGCTGTCAAAGACTGCTTCCTCCCTCGTGAATATAATACGACGTACACGCTTCGCGCCGCGCTTCCAAAACCGACCGGATTCCACGGATTCACGGTTAACCGACAGACCGAAAAGAACGCGCGATGCGGGAAACGATCTCTCTTGTCTTAGCCTGTGCGGATACCGCAAGACGTAAACGCTGTTAAATGGCACCCGTTCATGTTAAACATGCATACTTCTGACGATTCGCGCTGCACGTTTTCGAGCCACTTGTCAGAGACGGTAGTCATAAGAGGTAACATGAATACCGCGTCTCGCATACTACTGACTAAGCGATACTTAATAATATATATTATTTAATGGGAGTGGTGTTCGTGTATATGTATATATATATATATATATATATATATATATACGGACAGTAGAAATTCAACCAGTGCTATATTTTGTGCTATGTTTCTGCTACGTGTTCACGTAGGAAACTCTGGTCCATTACTAATGGTATCTGATTCTATTTATGCTTTTAACGGTAATTGGTAACATATATAGTATACGAGGTACCCTGTTGTATTCCTTCTGTCGTCGTTATAATTTATATTACATACGAATTCATAGTTTCAATATTCTATACAAGGATTATATACAAAAACAATTAACGCGCGTTGCATTATAGGTATTTTACATACAAATTAATTTTAACGTGTTGAATAAAAAAATATTATTTTAAGAAAATTTCCAACTTTTTCTTTAAAACTGCTATGCCTGTTATTTTTTTCATACGTTTATTTTACACACACATTCTCATAATTCTTTTAGCCCAGAAAAAAAGTTTTATTAGGTAGATAAGAATATATTAGTTTTATTAATATGTGAATATATAAAGGATAATCGGGTAATCGCATGTGTTACCTAATTATTTTAAACATTATTAGAGGTATATCCTCGAAATCATGAATAATACCTGATTATCCAGTTTCCAAGTCCTCGATCCCCTACTTGCTCGTCTCGTCAACAAACGTGCAAGAACGCGTAAGCAAGCGGAATCGTGTTATCTCCGCCAACTGTAACATTCGCACGCGAGTTCACAAAACTTTCCGAGAGTAAGGCTTGCCTATGCTGGATCGTGACCTTGCGAGGCCGCACGGTGGTTTACTTTGATGCCGACGTCGTTCGCGCCAGGCTGTAAAGCTAAGGGGCTAAGTGTTGGAAATGGGCAAAAATTAGATTTGCTTGTTCCTTCTAAATGGCTGTAACCGACGCGATTGCCAGCCTTTTCAATGGCCTTTCAATGCTTGAAGTTTAAGGCTGATCTGTGCACGGCACGTGACTCCTTTCATGACTTTGTGATTGTTTTCGTAATGTTTGACGAGATATTCACGGCTCTTTATCTTGATTTAGCGACGCGATAGAGATTCGAAATCGTATCAACATGTTTGAAAACAGTCGGATTTTTTGACAGATGATGTATTTTCGCTAAGTTTTTATTTTGCACGCAAGGACACCTGATTAAACTTGATATAATCGAAAAAATGTATGTCACATTTTCATATAATCCATTTGATTATTTTATTAATATAATATTAAATAAAATATTAGAGATAAATCTATATTAAAATGACTTTATGACAACTTTGACATGATTTTCAAGAAATTAATGTTATGTAATGACACTATTCACGCCGTTATCTATCGACGCACTTTTCATTGGCACTATCTGCATTGTATTATTGAGAGATATCTCTTGAAAAAAAGTCGCGAAAGAAAAAACATTACTAGCGGAAATTTCTCCGCTGAGGTGTGAATTAAGATTGAATGCGGAGCAATGAGTCGTGTCGAGGCGTAAAATCGAATTTGAATTGAGGCATGCCAGGTTTCTTTCTCGAAAGGCGATTCTCATGGTTGCATGATTAACGCTCGGATTTGCCTCGAGACTGCGACTTTGAGGACACGATATTTAACGCGATTAAATGTCAAAATAAAACAATTACTGTTTGTAGCAGGATTTTCGAAAATAATTGTTGCAGCCGCGAAACAAGATTCTGTGGAAGAAATAATCAATTATGATTCGTAGCAACATTTCCGGTAGTTAATCGTCGAGAACGCGGGACCAGAATATAAATATTCAAAATCGGCGTGTGTTTGAAAGATCGTCGTGATTTTCCAATTCGACTCTTCTAATATTTGAGTTCGTAACTTTCGCCGAGCGTCTCTCCTCTCGTGTCGTTTTATCATTATCCGCATAAGGCATAATTGAAGTAAGAAGATATTATTTCGACAGAGTCGACACGCACGATATCATGGATTTTTTGACACGTGCGACTATGTTTCGTCAACTTCTCTCTCTTATTTGGTATCTAAAATAGGTCACTATCTGATGATGATATCATTTGTATTTTTTTATAATATATTGCTTCATATTCAACATCGTATAATGAATATAACAGACATGTAATAATGTATATTGTAATTATAAATGCAGAGTGAGATAGTAATTAAAATTAAATTAAACTTGTCGATAAATTAAATTAGATTGGGGGCGGGGGTAATAAAATGACATTAAAATTTGCGGATGCGCTTAAACATTAATTATTATACGAATAAAAGTGTTAATATTGTGCGTCACTGTACTAATATTGCTCGCTAATATTTATTTTTCGCAGTCCATATATTTTTGATTATAAATATATAAGGAAAAAGAGAGAGTATTTTATATAGGGAGAGAAATTTTATTTATATTTGATAAAATATTTATTATATATGACAGATTATAAAGCGCGTCAATTTTAATTGTATGTAAATAGGAAACATGGGTTTTAATATCACACATTGTATAGTATAGTATTTAAAATGAATGAAAGTCCGCAAAATATCAGGTCTATTAATTGGATAAAGAACACGCACGTTTAAATATGTATGCACTACATTATGTATAAATATAATACATGCATATATATATACGAGAACGCGAGTTTCATATTCATATTGATGAGAATAAACGGATCTTATGTCTGCGAATTATTTTTTCCATTATCTATATGTTTCCTTATTGCGTGGATTGCAATGAATATATTCTCAATATCCTTTCAGCTTTAAGAGTCTCACTCTTTTTTTCTAACAGGCGTTTATTGTCGAATTAATTGACAATCAAGATGTATGATATATCATTTCTGTTATAATAACTTTCTAATTTAATCAGTTATCATTCGATTCCTGCTATAAACTCATACGTTTATTTCAATTAAGAGAATTAAGGAAATTTAAATAATCATAATAATTGCATAATTTTCGGGAAATTTGAAAAATTTAAACACATTGCAATTGAAATAAAAAAAATAAAAGATTATTGTTCTCTTCATTTGTACAATTTTTTTCATATCAATTATTTATGTTAGAAAAATAAATCCTGAAAAGCACGATTTTTTTTTAACGCACACAAGAATATCTGGCGTTAAATTCGAATTTTTAGTTTCGCGTCGAATGTGCTAACTCGATAACTGTAATTTTCAGTTCGTATTTAATCATCTGCGGCGATATTGTAATGTATGATGTTCGCGCGGTATGCTCGGCATGGAATGAAAAGCACGCTCGAAATTTGATAGGCGCGGAATCTCACATCAGAGATATAAACGGGAATATATATTTACCATCGATTTTTTTCCACGCTGTTTTGAATGTAAATTAAGCGTTACGGGACATGTCTATCGCGAGATTGGATTTGCATGTACCGCGGAATGAAATTGAAAAGAATCAAATTATTTTATATTTTAGCTCTTTTTTTACGAGAGAGCGCGGT